CATACCCACACCCACACCCATACCCACACCCACACTCACACCCACACTCTCACACTCACACCCACCCACACCCACACCCACACCCAATTTATCTCAATGTATGTGCGTATGTTGATGATGGCTTAATTATTATCGTTTTTTCATCACACTCTGACGAAAAAAAAAAGAAAATTATAGATTTTTTAACATATAAATATGAATGATTTTCCATGTAAAAATCATTCAATTTATTGAATCAAATTCTAATCTTTTCTTTGTATATTTTAGATTGGCTTCAACGATACAAAATTATTCAAATCGGCACAATAAAGAAAATGTAGGTATTAGTTTTAATGTTTTTTTCTTTTTACGATTATTTGGAGGGTGGTAAGTCCTCCTATGATCTTTTTTATATATGTTTTTATATTTTAGCCATTGACTAATGAAGATATAGATAATAGGGGTAAGTTTTCTTTTCTTCATCGTTTGAATAATTTTTTTCTTTTCCTTTTAGTTATCCATGTCATCCTAAATCGACAAGCGAGTTTTTTTTTCTTGAGATGAGACAAGTTAGAGTCAGTAAGATACGTTGAGATTAGAGTTTCACCTTATAAGAAGGACTTCCGGGTAGTCCCTAAAAGCCTGACCAGGAACTGTCTTGGTGTCCATGGCGCATGATCGAGCCCCTAGACTCACTGACATATGAAATCGGATGGGTGCATGTGGATGATGTGGGTCTTCCTGCGCGTGCATGAGCATTACGGTCGCCACGGCTCCACCAGGATGGTTCCTGGCCGCGCGCGCGCGTGCGAATTAGAATAGCTATGAATTCATTTTTTCATTCAATCACGATTTATTTGAAATAGAAAGAGAACAAAAAAAAAATAAAATTCATCATCGTATTGAATTTCATTCGATATTAAATTTTTGTACTCGATCATTTCCATAATCGACGACATAGAGATTGCCATGTCGAACGAATGATAAACCTGCGGGATAATTAAGTTGATTCGACTGTGTTCCTTTACCGTTTTCACCAACAATGACACTTCCTTGTGTGGCTCCTTTTGGCCAACGCATGATTCGATAGTTTCGATGATCAGCCACATAGACAGTACCCAATTGATCGACAATGAATCCTTGAGAACCATTCAATTGTGTAAGAGTACTTCCTTCTCCTTGACCACCGGCTACGAGAATGCCTTGTTTTGCACCTTCTTCCCATTTCATTATACGATGATTGGAATAATCAGACACATATACTGAATGATCTCGATCGACAAATACGTAGGAGGGACGAGAGAGTTGACCCATGTCCTTTGAATCGTCTAAAAATTGCCGATTAATCCCGATTCATCGAAACGATAATCGTGAGCTGAATCGCGATAGAATCGCCTATTATTCCCGATTATTTCAGCGATTTTTACAATAAATCGTGATTTTATGCAAGATTTAACCGTCTGTTTTCCGATATTTTCTACTATTTCATTGGTTCTTTTGGAGACACATATTTAGATTTTTTCTTGAATTTAATTCAATTTTTTTGTTCTCAAGATCCTAGCCGATCAGATCATGCGATCTGTCCGATCTCGAGCTGGTCCGATTCTTATCAGACCGCTTCAGTGTAGTCCTCTCCAGATCATGGATCGGGATTGGCATTTCCTTGATTAAAAATAACCAAGAAATAATTTATCAGAAAAGTATATTTCGAAAACTTATTTGTTATGCATTGAACAGCGTTGTTTATATATCCGTGTGTGTTTATAACAAAACGGTGAATGAATAATTGTCATGATTTATCAATGATTTTCGAAAATCAACTCTTCTCCCATAATCGCGATCAAATCTGATATAATCGTCGATCTTTTAAAGAAATACGATAAATCACGATTTTACGCCAATATTTTAGAAAATCGCGAAAATCGCGGTGATTCTCATGACATGGGGATCGAGACGATTTCCTTTTCCATTGCCACCTGCAACTACTGTTCCTTGAGTGTCACCAATTTTATATCGTCTCACTTCATGTTTTTCATCGTCATTGACATAGAGAGAACCATTTTCGTCCATTGTCAAACCCCAGCAAGCGATATTCGAAATAATTGTATCTCCACAAGTACCATTTCGACGAGACCAACGAACTACTCTGTCATTCCCGTAATCGCTGACGATGAGACTATCGCTATCTTTGTCGATAATCACATCTACTGGGCGATTTAATTGATGTGCTCCATTTCCATATCCATTTCCACCAGCAACTACTGTTCCATTCGTTGCACCAGATTTCCATTCCACAATACGATGATTATAATAATCAGCGACATAAATCGTTTGATCATCATCGACGTACAAACTCCATGGCCAAGAGAGTTGATTGGTTTCATTGCCTCGTCCATTTCCTCCAGCAACAGTGATTCCATTCTGTGCCCATTTTGCATTCGGATGAATATCAATGGAACTTGCACGCATTGGTACTGAAATGAAACAAAAGTATGAAGTAAAAATAAATATCAATGTCATTGAAATGAGTTCTTCTCATTTGTTTTAAACAATATTGAACTGCTCTCAATTACAAAAGTTTTTTACTTATGAACTTGATTAGAATCTGACTTTTCTCAATGTTGAAAACAAAACATTGTTGATTTTTTTCAAATATTTTACGTAAGAATCTTTAGTTTGACTAAAACTAACTAAGATTTAACTGGTAATGTGAAAAATTGCGATGAGCTCGAATTTTTATCGTGAATGAAATTTTCTTTTCTATCGAATTTTTCCAACATATTCATTGATTGCGTTAGTTCAAGTTTTGAAATATATTTTGATTTTGCATGTCATCATTTTAAAAATCATTACATTTTTTTTTGGATTTTACAATAAAATGAGTTATAATAGAATTTGAACGTGAGGAAAAGAATTTTGTTATCAGTTGATAGGAAACTGTGTATGATTTATGTTTGTCACACATTTCTGAGTGAAATGAGACAAAATAAATTTGCCACTTTTATATGAATTCATTAAAAACATCTTGCTAGATAATAACGATAGTTCATTATACTTAACTACTATCCATAAGTCGTTTTTGACTGATCCGTATAAAAATTACAGATTTTTTTGTGTAAGTATTTTTCTTTCTTATTCCATTTACGAATGTGTGACAAATATAAATCATACATCATTCGAAAGTATTTTATGCCATTAATTTTGCATCATACTTATTATTGAGTAATTTATTCCTGAATCTCAAACAAACAAGTAGCTTGTAGAAAGACTAATCGAAGTACTAAATAAGATAAGTTTAGATAAAATAATACGTAAGTTCGAATTTTAGTAGATAAGAAGAACTAAAAACAAATCTTTCCCAAGTTCAAGAATATTTGAAGAATCTGTCATGTTCATTATTCTACATTATAGGACAAACAATGATCTATATACGAATCGTCAAATCTTTTATTTTGAATTCATTTCTAATGTATTACAAATTTTTAACTTAATAGAGTGTGGATGTATGGGAGACGGTTTTTTTAACAATAGCAGTTTCAATCACGAATCGGTTTCGATCTTTCTACAATTAAATATTTTCGCTTCTTTACAAGACAATACGAATCTCCTATCGAAACCTTGATCTAAAATCTTTGCAAGTTTTTGTTTTGTAGGCTATTCAATAGGTGTAAATTTTTGAGGATTCTCACAAAAAAACGATCGTAAAAGATTCCATCATGATTTTAGCTATTCTCAATAGCAATAAGTGTGAAGATTTCTTCTTCAAATTGTTATTGTATCGCATTCTGCACTGGTTAAATCTTAGAAGAAAGTTTTTTTTTGTTGGTCTAGAATTTTCTAAAGGTTGATATTAATACTGACTTGAGCTTTAGACTAGAAACAATACTTCTATGATTATATCTTGAATGGACAGTTACAGAACCGATGAAATTAATAAAAAATGTCATGCAGTTTTATAAACTCCCTAAGAATAATTTCATCGTTTTTAATTTGTCTATGAAGAATCTAGCTATAATCGAGATCTTGATTAAATTTAATACTATTTAATCAATTTTCATTTTTATCATGTGAAATCATATATTTTTAATATGTTTAATGTCTCAATGCAATTGAAAGAAAGTACATTTTAGTATTATTTCTTTTCTTCCATCGACAAAAAACAAATACTTGCAAAACGGTATAAGAACTATAATAATGTGTCAAACAACTCGAAGATGAGAGTCAGAAACAAAACAATACTTTCTGCTTTTTAAATCAAAGAGATTGTGAGACATAAAATTCGAGTAGATAATTTTATTTTCTACTTATAGATCATGACATAGAGCTATATGAGATGCTTATTAACACTATAGATTTATTTCAATTAAATCAAACTTCTCAAATATTTTTAATACATATGGAAATGATCCGTCTGATCGGCTACCTTGCTTCGGTTTTTTTTGCACATAAAATTCAGTCTTATTTTAGAATAAGTACAGTCAACATTTGCTCTATATTTGATATTATATAAAATCCTTTTCATTATTTTTCATTTTTCTATACTGTAGTATGGAAACTCCCATTTTTATTTCTTGTTTTTCTATTTTGGCAATATAGAGAATCTTATTTTTAGCTCTCATTTTTCTATATTAATAATGTAGAAAGTTATATTTGTTAATTCTTATTTTCTATATTGATAATATAAATAATGATTAGTTTTAATCTTAATTTTTCTACGTTGGTAATATAGATAACAGTTGGTTTTATTTCTTATTTTTCTATATCAATAATATACGAATCTAAATTTTCATTTCTTGTTTTTCTAAATTGGTAGTTTAGAAAATCTTATTTATTGTTTTTCATTTTTTAGATTGATAATATAGAAAATCTCAATTTTAATTTTTGATTTTTCTATAGCAATAATAGAGAAAATCTTAATTGTCATTTTTTATTCTTCTATTTTGATAATATAGAAAAACCTATTTTTATTTCTCATTTTTTTATATTAATAATATAGAAAATCTTATTTTTAATTCTTATTTTTCTATATTGATAATAATAGAAAAATAAAAAATACAATTTTCTATGTCAACAATATACAAAAAATAGAGAATAAAACAAACTGTTATCTTTATTACCAATGTAGAAAAATAAGATTCTCCATATCACGAATGTAAAAAAATAACAAACGAAAATCAGCATTTTCTATATTATTACTATAGACAAATTGGACAAAAATAACTGTTTCCATATCATCAATATAGAAAAATAAAAAATAAATAGATTTTACTATTTTGTCACCACAGAAAAATAAGAAATAGAAGTAACCGTTTTCTATACTATTAGTATAGAAAACGAATAAAAAAAATTAGGTACACTGCTTGATCCTGTTTTTCAGGTGCTATTCTTCATAGGAAAGCTGATGCAGTCAGCTATTCTCAAACAAGTGAAAGAACAGAACACACACATACACGAACAGATAATAACAGGCAAGATCTACATTATGTACCATGTATGCTTCTTTCTTTTAGATCTTGTACGATCTGTTAACGTCTGACAAGAAGCATTCAGTCTGTCCTTATAAGTGTTTTAATCTTTCAATCTTGTACGATTAACTAATGTCACTGAGAAACAGAACGAAACTATTCATTTTTTTTAAAATCAAATTGATGAAATTTAACAAATAAACATTGTAGAACTTTGTAAACTATGTGAAAATAATAACAATTCAATTGCAATTTCACATAGTTGGAAGTTTGTAGCTTTATGTAAGAAGATGGTGAAATTCAACTGTATAAGCTGCTCAGCTTGTTAACTGAATATGTAAAGATTAATATTACAATAGATATGCTCATTTCTGTTCTGTTTTGTTTTTTAAGAATAGTTTGCAATTATCCTAATCTGAATTCTTATAAATAGAATAAGATCCCAAAAACGAGCTGTAATGTAAAAGTAGATATTGCAAATAAGAATTATTTTATTAATGAATAGAATTCTTTTGGATGTATGAGATGATTTTACAGTACGCTAGAAGCGATAGTTCTATTCATGAATCTCAAACGAAGATGACTTCTTCATTAAAAATGATAGAGCTATGAGATATTTGTTGAAAAAATGTTTAAGTTATAGAATTTTTCAAAACTAAGTAAATATTTCACCAATCTATTGAATCCAAGTAGAACCCATGTGGCCAAGATAAGCTGCATTCATACGCTATATTGAAAAGTGTATGTAGTTTATCCATTAATCATTAGGATCAATAATAATTTATTCCAATTTTTACTCATGTCTGTCCAAGTATGGTTTGACATGCGTTGATGCTAAAGTTTTATATGTGAACAGACTTATATAAATTGAACCAATTATAATTTATTTATTCTGAAGAGATCATCTTACGCAATGGAAATAAATACTCATCAAATTTAATCTATTATTTTCAGGGAAGTTAATTAATACTGATTATTTTTAGTATTGATAGAAGTTGATAATGAGTTCGTGAAGTATCTTATGATGTTAGAAAACCATCGTTATAATCTAAATTTGAGAAATGATAGATTTCATTTTCGAATCATCAATAAAAATTTTACTTTTCTGCCAGAATTCTTTACTTCCAAAGTTAAATAATATTTTTCGTTGAAATAAACTTGAGTAGAGAATATTTTCAAAACGTTGATTAAATATTATTAAAGTTAACAATTAGTATTAGAGATAATAAAGAATTGAAATTCATAATCTCCATCTTTTGATACGAACATTCATAATGAATGAATTTATATAAAATGTTGAAATAAAAAGAAAACATTTCCTTTCTTGAGATTACGTCTCTTTCAAATTATCGTATAAACATTATCTCGGGTTCACACCAAGGATTTCAATGAGAATATATTAATCGTCCTCTCTTCAACAACTTGTTTCTATTAATAATGTGATTCAATTGATAAAAAGTGAATCGACGAAAACATCTATCAATGGGATCAAGAGATCTTTTTGTTTCATAGTATTCTCTATTGTATTGTGCTTATGCTGTGATCTCCTAAAGTAGAGTCAGACTAGAATAGAGTATTATTTTAGTTCACATGAACTAAGCAGTTCGAAATTTTCAATATCATCCTGCTTCGGTAAAAATTATATCATTCGAAAGAGCACTAGAAATTGATCAAGAAATACTAATTTTCTCTGAGGCACACTTTCAAGTTCGTAGCAAAAATTTACAAAAATATCTAAACTTTCTAGAGATAAACGTAATCTTGTATACATATTATGTGAACAGCTGATAGAAAAGAGAATAAAAAAGAACCTTGCCACATTGCTCGTATTGATTATGATGACAATAATGGTGATGTGATAGTTCAATTTAAGAAAAGTATCAATACGGAATAACGTTACATCATTATTGTATCAGATCTCATGAGTTATCTAAATATTTCAAGTACTATTTCTCATTGAAAACTATATATTGACTTTCTTATTATTAATCGTTTCAAAAACAA